TACAACCGTATATAAGTACGATATGGCTACCTCCGGGGTGTCAATTTGATACAAATTATAACTGTGCATTTCCACAGGTGCTGAAGGCATATTAAAGTCACCAAGCACTATAACATTATTGTATTTAACACCAACATTTTCTAATATAAGAAATAATTGCATGTATTCTCTAGCTACACTATGCGGTGGGATGTAAACAACGCAACATAGAAACATTAATTTCTTATCACGGTGTACCGTCGCACACACAATTTCAAATAAGGCGGTGTCCATATTGCCGACTGGAACGCATCTCAACTCCAGCGATGACGAAGAAGCTAGAAATACTCCTCCGTGTTTGCGGCCATCAGCTCGATCGCATCGCAGTATTTGGAAACTAGGAGGGATAAGTTCACCGTTATGTATGGATCTATGAAGACATGATTCCGTAATTGCAAATAAGTCGTACGGTGACTCAATATTCAAATAAAAAGTAGATAATTTTGTTCCAAGTCCTCTAACATTCTGGTAGTCCTAAATGCCCCTAAAACAGGTTTTCATTACCTGTTGCTGGTTTACGGGTGTTTCGAAACCACACCCACTCATTAAATCGGGTATGTATTGGCCAACTATCTCTGTAGTTCACTTTTTCAAAAGTGGATTCTGGAACACCAAACCTGAATGAGGAATAGCCTCTCTTGGTTTTTGGTACAATCTTTTCAATTTTGATATCCTCAGAACTACAAATTTTTTTCAAATGTTCCCTTATAGCATCTTCCGAGGTTTCGAGATGGAGTGACCACATGTGTAAAAACTTCTTCTTCTGTATAGATCGATCTGGGCGTTTCCTCCAGTTTGGATAGCCTTAAGGTGGGTCGACTTTTTATGGCCACCTACTACTTTCCATTCTTCAGTCGCAGACGTTTCAATTATAGTTGAATCTTTTTTTTCTGTATTTTTTACTTACAGTGTGGAAACAGCCTTTTTTCCCGCTGCATTGCTCGGCGCGCGCGCTGCGTTATTTTTTCTCTGATAAGGCGACCGTATCAGAGGAAATCGGTGTCACGCTCGCGCTTGGGACTGTCAGTACCTTAGTCGGCACGTTGGTCTCGCTTGTTGACTGCCCAGCCCGCAATAGGTCGATTGTTCTAGCGGGCATTTCTTCGATTACCCTCTTCAAGTCACTTATCGTCGAAAACAATTTCTCAATAAATCGCTGCTGATTTTCAATCTTCTTATTCTGTGCTTCAATTAGCGTCACTTGCGTTGTCATTTTTGTTGTCAACGCTTCTACATTCTTCGACAAATCGGCGAAAGCAGACTTCACTTTAAAACATGTCATTTTTATCGAAATACGGAATAAAACGAGGCGACTAAAGTTCTCGTGTCAAGCTATACTATGCATGATAAGCTTTTATTATAGCTTAATTTAAGATATAACTTATTTTAATTAATTCCCGACGTTTCGGGTGCTTTACAGCACCTATGGTCACCGGATATAGTGTCGGAACAAGGTATCCGCACGGATCCAGAGAAAATTGCCGCTGTCAATGATTGGCCGGTTCCAAAAGACAAGACGCAGGTTAGAGCATTTAGAGAACATTAGAGCACAGACTTGGCGGTGTGTTGTCTCAACGTAATGGTGATCAAGAGGTTGTGATGGCGTACTTCAGCAAGTCGTTGTCAAAGCCGGAAAGGAACTATTGTGTCACAAGACGGCAATTACTTGCTGTGGTAAATTCATTGCAGCATTTTAGTAAATATCTTCTAGGGCGGAAATTTCACTTACGAGCTGACCATGTTGCACCGAAATGGCTATTGCAGTTCAAAAATCCAGACAGACAAGTTGCGAGATGGATTGAACTATTGCAGGAATACGACTTTGTGATCGAACATCGCAGCGGGAAATCTCATGGCAACGCAGCATTGTACTAGACAAGAGAGTAAAGAAGTGATATATGTGAGGATGCTCAGGACAGACGAGCTTAGCAACGAGTGGAAGGACAGCCTACAACACGCACAGGAGGAAGATTCGGACATCAAGCCGATTCTGGAATGGATGAAGGTCAGTGCTCCTAAGCCCAAGTGGAGGGACGTCTCAGTGACCACGAAAAGCTATTGGGCCCAATGGGACAGCTTGCTGATTCAGGATGAAGTTCTGTGCCGCAAATGGGAAAATGGTCGGGGAGACAGTTGCCATTTGCAAACGGTTGTTCCTAAAGCTAAAGATCCGAGAACAATTTTACTGGGTCCACTGTCGTGACGATTTCGAGGACTTGTGTCGCAAATGTACAAGTTGTGCGGCTGTAAAGGGACGTCAGACTCGTAGTAGATATGCATTGAAATTGTACAATGTTGGTGCACCATGGGAGAGGATAACCCTTGACGTTGCGGGGCCGTTTCCGGAAAGTGAAAGTGGTAACAAGTATTTCATGATGAATTCTTATATTTAAGCGTACACTACACATTGAACAAAACTACTTTTACGGATTCTATCGCGTTTAATTAACTTATTTTTATTAACTCCCGACGTTTCGGGTGCTTTATAGGACCCATGGTCACGGGGGACTGAAGTGATTGACGTCCCGATATCAGAGTTAACCCGGAGAACCTTCAGCTTTTTTAATTATTAATTTTGGGCCAATCTACGCAGAATGAACTTACTGTGTCTTGAAGTCGTGCAGTGATATGGTTAGGTATAGTTTTAATTTTATTAATTACAGGATCCCAAGCAGGTAGTAATAATATAAATCATTATTGACATTTAAGGCTTGTAAAATTTTACCATGATCCATGACGATCTATATGGAATTTCTACAACTAGCCTATACATATGGAATCTAGCCTGTTATGTTGAAACATATTATGAGTCATCTAACCGGTATTTCATTCTAGCGGTACATTATACTGCTAAATATAGTTTTTTATGTAATTAGGGTGACAAACGAGCACACAGCTCAGCTCACCTGATGATATGGGGATACTATCGCCCATAGATATCTAAATCTAGTATCGACTGAGAATCCAAATGCAGATGCGTTGTCGCCTCTAAAGGCTGAGATGGAATGCCTCCGTTTTCAGTAACAAGGGTTTCTGGTTCGCTACACTCATCATACGAATCAGAGCAGCATTATATTGGTCTTACTCCGACCTCCGGATAAAAATCAATTTGATTTTGTCAGTGATGCTTGTCATTTAATGCCAGTGTTGATCTGCTTGAATATATCATATTTAGTGATATTTAACTTCTGCCTTGTTTCTGTAACTATAAGAAATTTATAATGAGCAATAAAGTTTTCACATATTCAATATAGTCGCAAAATATAACACAAAATTTTTTTGTCTGCATAATTTTATATTTATTCAAGTAATATTTATTTTATTTTTTTATTTGGCATCATGGTTGTATTTGTGGATATATTTCGTGTTTTTATTTTCATGAATTAATTTAACTAGACCCTTGGCTTTTCTGTCGATTTACAGGACAGTAGCTTATTGCGCCCACATAATGGCAATAATGTGTTACTTGGGTTTTGAGAGGAATAGAATAAACAATGTACAGACTCAGGCTGCTTTTCTAGATATTTTATTAATAATTGCATAAAATAATTAAACAATTAGAAAAGTTTGAGTTGTATTTTATTTTATCTTACTTTATTTAATAATAACTAAAAAAGGGCATCCTTTTGTGTTCTTTTCAATTTATTGAAACAACTTTTCCCAAGAATGAGTGATTTTACTACATAACCTACAAATAATAAAACGAAATAAAAACAAAACCCCAGGCCCTACAAAAATATGATTTTTTGTCATAAGTAACAAATGTTTAAATCTTCAAAACATGATATATTTGAATTATGTTCATGCCGGGCCCAAGCTTGTATGGAACGTAGTTCATCTCCTTTGTGGTCAAGCACTGGCTTATAATAAGTAAAAAATAAATATATATAAAAAGTATTGAAGACTAAGTATAAAACCAAATTTGTTGATAATAAAACTTTGTGCATAGATACCAAGATCTAAAAGCTATGTTTTTTAATTGTTGAGAGTAACGAACTATACATCAGTAGTAAACATCTGTTCATTCTTAATTACTTATAATAACGAACCATTCTCTAAAACTTACATGATATTATTATAAATTATCAAATGCAACGGGTTACAAATGTTATTATCACTTCGCTGTTCTCCAAGGTTCAACTTTTACACAGTTGTGACATAGAAAAATTTTTAATTTTCATTAGGAAATAACCAAATATACTCTAAGGAATGACAAATCTCCAAAACACAGCCAGTTGATCCTCGTGGTTGTTCTGTGGATCAGCTCATAATTCAAGCTGGCGGAACCCTTCAAAACAGCATTATTTTAATTTTATTATACATACGTCTATATATAAAATCAATTGCTCTCCGTTAGTCTACTGAAAACTCGAAAATGGCTCGAACGATTTTAGTTAATTTTTTGAGTGGGTCCCTTGACGGTTTAAAAATTCAATTGGACCCGGTAGGTGGCTCTGTTGTCGAGATCCAGAAATAATCTATGCGAAGTCGGGGCGGGTCGCTAGTCTTTATATATAAAAATAACGTGTCACGTTGTTTGTCTGCGATTGACTCCTAAACTACTAAACTGATTTCAATGAAATTTTGCACACTGTGTGAATTTTGGTCCAACTTGAGAGATAGGAAAGCTTTTATCCCGATAAATGACCCTCAACATTTTTTATTGCGAATTTATGGATTTTTATAGGAAGGGTCGTTGGAAAGGGCAGAACAACGTCTGCCTGGCGAGCTAATTTTATATAAAAATCTAAACATACACTTAATTTGCACGTAATCTCAAACGAAATTTAATAATAAATTTCGTTTGAGATTAAAAAATAAGTCATTGATTCTATTTTAGTATATTATTTTCATCAATTTATTCTAGATTGAATTACCTATATACCGTAGAGGAAAAATATGTCATATAAATCCACAAGAGGATCTAAGAGGAGCAAAAATCGACCATGATTGTATAGATCATGATTGTAGATCCAAACGGAAGCAGCGGTCAGATCTATATTTATAGAAACTTTAAAATTTCGTATGCTAGTGCTTAGGTGTTAACCTAACAAATGCAATTAAAATATATAATTTTACTTCCTATTCAGGAGCGGTGTTGGCTTCACCTTTAAATTCAAAACTTTTAACGGCTATGAAGAATTTTTCAACTACTGTCTTTACCGGTGCACATTCAACCATCTCTAAAGGGGATTACTTCTCAGTTGAAGGTGAGTGTAATTGCAATAGGTTTTCTGTATGATCCACATAAGTCGTCTTTTCACTTTCACTCCCGCAAAGTCTTTAATTTGACGTTATTTTTTCTAATTATAAATCTTGTTATATTGAATTTAGGATATTCTAATGTTAATGTATTAGAATATTCTAAATGTTAAGTAAAAATTTATTTTATGTCAGAGATTAAGACATTTTTCTGTAATTTATTTATTGAGAGGATAAATATACTTCTTATTTTAGGAGTACCGCTCGCGAGAATGCCGATAAGCTGGGCACCAGGGGAACCAGACAATTACGAAAACAGCGAGGAATGCCTGCTCCTTCACTCTAATGGAGTGGTGGCTGACGTCAAATGCTCAGAGGTTTTCCCCTTTATATGCTATAAAAAAGGAATAAAACCGACAGTTATATCCAACTGTGGCACTACTGATATTGGTAAGAAAAACAGGTTGTTATTTTAAATTATCATGTCTCACTCAAAAATAAAATAAAATGTAACGACGTTGATTTTTATACGTGGTAGAGCCATGCTGCAGCTATATTAATAGTATAGTTGTAGCACGAATGGGTCGGCTCGACTGGGGAAGGACCACGCTCTCACAGAATACCAGCGTAAAATAGCAGCTTAACACTGCTGAGTTTCTAATGGTAAATATAGAGAACTGGCGACCCTTTTTACTGGAAAAGAGGCATTCCATCTTAGTCCTCACGGGTGACAACGCATCTGCATTTTGATTCGCAAACGAGGATAAATGTAGATGTCTATGGGCCACAACAGCCACTTACCATCAGGTGGACTGTGTGCTCCTTTGTTACCCTTTCCTATAAAAATTTTTTTCGACGTAAAAGAGGTAAAAATATTGTTAAATAACAAAAGGATAAACAAAGTTATTTACCAAAAGAATAAAGTCTATCCTATTTTTTTTTAATTGCATATAAAAATTAAAGTAAAATTCATTCATTAGTTACAGCCAAAGTCAACTCCTGAACATATTATGACTTCCACATAATTTGCCTCAAAGGGGAGATACCCTGTAATCCATACGGTTAGTAGTTGATTTTCGTACGCAGCTACTACATGTAAAAAAGTTAAGCTGGAGAGGTCACGACTAATGTATTCACTTCCACGGGGACGTAACGTTGAATACATGTTCCGCGAAGGGGTACCAAGGTTGAAAAGTCTGCCATAAGAACCACCTGTCGAAGCTGAAGACTGACTATGGAAGCTTTAATTTCGGGACACCTGAGAGCTTGAGACACTATTTCGATGATATCCCGGACGTCAATATGAGCGATATTATAATGGCTCTCCAGCACCTACAAAACGGCAAAGCCCCTAACGAGAGTTTAGAGAGACTTGTTGTGGGTTTTAAAGATGATTATGGTGATTGGTGTTAGCGAGGATCTAACCTAGGTAACACGTGTATTGTGATACTTACAGCGATCGCATAACCCCAGCTCTATCCAGCTCTTTAATAATAGCTATTCAATAATAGCACATTAATCATTTGTCTACGTGTAAATAGTACATTTGCCTTAAAAATAATTTAAAGTTTGCCTTTCTATCCAATTTCAATGTGGATTTTTTTAAGGTACGAGTGTACTGGCTTTTATTAAGTAAGTGCACTTAACTATCTTCAGATACATTACCACTTACCATCAAGTTGAAAATTAGTCAAGAACTGGCTTAAAATAGTTAAAAAGATAGTATACCAGTCACGAAACTTAAATACTACACAAGCATTTTCATTCAATTACATTGAGATTTTTAATCAAAACTAACGAAACATTAACTCGATACGGTTATGTTTCAGTTATGTTATAATGTTTGATTCTTATTAAGTTCAAATTGTCAAAAATGTCAAATTAAGATAAAATATTCTACGTGTTATAAATTCCACAGAGTACACTCATGATTCTAGAACCGGTAGCTGTTACAAATTCCACTACGTTGGCCGAACTTGGCCTCGTGCTTACATGGCCTGTGCATCGGAGGGCGGTTATTTGGCCATCATTAACAGTCATGCCGAAGCTGAAATTCTAAAGGAGATGTTTAATAAGTATCCCGAAGATAAAATAATTGCGAGACACACGGACAATGCTCACGTTGGATTCTACGACTGGGGTGAACGTGGGGTTTGGAGTACAATTCATGGTAAGAATTGAACATTCGATGAACATTTAGAGTAAATTATAACAAGTCAAACTCAAATCTGGCTGTATGATGGCAGTGAAAGTGATTCCATTACTACATTTCTTCCCACGCATGCCTCAATGGGTGACTGTGGGAAATGCCAGTGATGTCTTATGGCTTCCGATTTCTGAGCGTATATCGTTTTTTTACGTAGTAGAGCCATGCTGCAGCTATATTACGGTTGTATCACGAATGGGTCGGCTCGACCGGGGAACGACCACGCTCTCACAGAAAACCAGCGTAAAATAGCAGCTTAACGCTGCTGTGTTTTGTATGGTGAGTGTAGAGAACCGGAGACCCTTTTTACTGGCAAAGAGGCATTCCATCTTAGTCCTCACGGGTGACAACGCATCTGCATCTTGAGTCTTTATTGAGGATAGATGTAGATGTCTATGGGTCACAGTAACCACTTACCATCAGGTGGACTGTGTGCTCGTTTGTCACCCGATCCTATAAAAAAATATTAATGGTATAGTTGTAGCACGAATGGGTCGCATGGAAGGACCACGCTCTCACAGAATACCAGCGTAAAATAGCAGCTTAATGCTGCTGTGTTTTGTATGGTGATTGTAGAAAACCGGAAACCCTTTTTACTGGAAAAGATGCATTCCATCTTAGTCCTCAACGATGACAACGCATCTACATTTTAATTCGCAAACGAGGATGGATAGTTGTAGATGTATATGTGCCACAGCAACCACTGAGCATCAGATGGACTGTGTGCTCGCTTGTCACCCTTATCCTATAAAAAATATCTCATGTTTACTTTAGACGTAAAATACCCAGATCAGCGATGGACAGCAGCGTTAAAGATATGACACGTGCGGTACGTTAAACGATTATCAACCTATCTGCCAAGCGTGACAATTAAAGTAAATCTGCCAAACACTCATCTTTTGTTGCGGCCTTATTAAGAAGAAGAAATGTAAATCCTTAAAACTGGTTACAAGAGCAACACTTGTGAGTGGGTGTTAGCATTTTGCTCACGAATCAGCTTACTTATCGTTTTCAATACTTTCTAATACTATAAGAGTTTCGTTGAGTGTTTAGTTATTGAAAAGATCTATATCCATCAACGACTTCAAAAGGCTAATAAGAAAGAGACGAATATGGAATATTGAAAAAAATATTTGAAGTCATCGTACGAGTATAGGCAATAAATCGTGTGTCTTATTGAAATACGACATTCTACTTGGTGAAATAGTGGGTTTGTTTATTTAATTTTCAGAAAAAAACTATGTAATTGTTTCTATTCTTTCTTGTCATCACAAAAAAATTAAGAAGGTGTAGATAAGGTGTGCGATACGTCAGGTTTTTGTTAGGCTTTTTAAATTTTACTAGTTACGCGGTCGATTGGACTCCCATCCCATCCTCCATTCTATCTTCACTTACTCCGCACTGTGCAAACCCCTGACGCCTCTCCCATAAAGAAATAAAGAAGATGATTCATTAAACTTTGTTCTTTTTTTAAATTAGAAGTTCATACGATTTGATGATAAATGTTCAAAAAACCTGGATTTAAATACATTCAAGTTTATCATTTTAAAAATTTATATAACAAGAATTATAGCCATTTGACTATTTAAAAGAAGTGCCTGGGTGCGAACGGCGTCTCCTCTCGGGGTCTGCGAGGCCCTCGACCCCCACGGGTGGGGGCGCTCAGCCACGCCCTCTGCCGGGCGACTCTCGGCGCCCGCCGGCCAGCCACCAGGCCCCTAAGTTTGAAAGGGGTCCCTTCCCCGACCAGTCGGGGGGTAATTGCCCAGGGGCGGGGGTGTTATCACCCCCCCCTCAGCGTGTGAAGAGGAACTTAACGGCCACTCATCGGTCCGCAGGACCCTTCTCACTCCCGTTAGCTGAGTGGCCGCGACTGGTGTACCACTGTTCCCCATTTGATGGAGGCGGTCCTGGCTAGCTGCCGCCTTAGCTCCCACCACGGCCGCCTCCACTGAGCCTTAAGCCGTCAACAGTCCACTTGTCAAAATGTTCTGTTGCTGACGGCCTCAGTGAAGGCGTACAACCCGAGTGGCGACTGTTAGCGGTCTACGCTCTATTGGTCTCGGGTTCACGCCGTGTGGCCTCCACTTGGTGGTGGGAACATTAGGGCCCCCCTGGAGTATTGAATCACGCTGTCAAGAGGTATTAGATTTGGTTTGGTCGAGCATTTAGTTAAAATTCTTTAAATTAAAATTAAAAATGCTTTTGGGTTTTCCGCGAAATTTCCATATTTGTAGCGGTTGTGATTAAAAGAATTGAATTATGTGCCTTTTGAATGCTTGTGCGTATGCTTTGTTATTTGACTGTTGCGCCTGGTTGCTGAAAAGAAAGTTTGAATTCATTTGAAATTGAATGTCGCGCTATTTGGAAAATTATATATATGTTTTGTGATAGTGTTTAATCATTTTGCTTTGTGGAAAGGAAGGCTGAAATTAGATAACCCTATTTGTGCCGAAGTAAATAAAAGTCATTTCTCCTTTGGTTTTCATTTTGTTGGCACTGTCTAAGTTATTTAAATGAGAAATAGGGCTGTCTCTTGCGTTTATTGTTTTGTTTAATTTGTCAAGTTGACCTATGTGCATCGGTGATTAATTTGGTTGAATTGATTCTGTAGTTGAACATTGATGTTTTGAAAAATTTGTTGAGATATGAGCATAGGACTACTTGCCTAACAGGCTGGCTAGTTGTAGATTATCAGATGGAAATCAGCTGTCGCACCATTTGGTAAATGATTATGTGGTGGATGGCCTGGTTATGCCTACTTGTTTGAAAAGTCGTACTAGGGACTATCTGTGCGTTCGTTCGGCTCTCCACAGACGACGTTCATGGGGAATTTGGGGGTGCTCTCTGCACTGAAGCTTAGGAGGTCACTCTGGGCCGCTTCGTGTCGCGTCGCTGTTTGCAGACCTGATCCGGTCGGATTGCAGAACTAATCATAGGAGCACAGATAGGTGTTTGAAGGAGGTCGTCGGACTTCTGTCTAGGAATAGGACTTATTTATGGGCTGCGATGTCCAGGAAGGGCATCCAGTTCAACCCTCCGGCTTGCCCACGTTGGGGCTGTAATTTTGAGGCGTTGGTTAGGGTTGTAAGATCTGATGGGGTGCCTAAGGTGGCCTAGTTTGGTTGTAGATTCGGTCTTGCAACTTGCTGTCGCAACCTTGTCCCGCTGACCGGTTTGCTCGCGGACCTAAATCCTTATGTCCGGGACGGGGGTTTGTTCGCGCCAAACGCTGTTTTCGGAATAGACGTCAGAGGGCGCGCGGCTCGGTGCCATACCGGTTTGACATTCGGTCGTGCGTAGAACGCGCAAGCGCAGTAGTCGTCTGACAGCTGTGATAACGTCAGCATGCTGTCAATTTTTGTTCGGGAACTCGGAATAATTAGGCGCGGCTAGTAAATATACTGTCTAGGATTTGTGACGCGCTTTCCTTGCTGGAGAGCTTCCCAGGGACTCATTGTGTCTGACTCAGAATCTGTATAAGTGCATTCGACAATATTAGCTAAAGCGGCCTTTGATATTCTAGAAATAACTGTTGCTACGCGAAGCGGTAGTGACCTTTGATCCGGACACTCCCTGTTCGTTTTGTGTGTTAAGCTTTATAACAAACGAGAGTTAGTGGCTTCTGTAAGTTAGTTAATAGTACGATAGGGTTAATGGACTGTCATCGTGACGAACGATGAAAGTGACTGTGGACGGCGCCGCGGAAGATTACCTCAATTTGGAGCGGTGCTGACGTCCGGGCTGCTGCCGACGGCCAAGGTCTAATAAGGTCAATCACCACCAGTCACACCCATTTACACATCACAGCACCTATTTCCTTTGCACCACACAACCGAAGATTATACGATCGTATCTATAAATTCTGTGAAAAATATAATATCTTTAGTGAAAGTCAAAACGGTTACCGTAAAAACAAATCAACAGTTTTAGCAATTTACAATTACATTCAAAAAATACATGATATAATTAACGATAAAAAATATGCTATAGGAATACTACTAGACATGTCAAAAGCATACGATACAGTGCAATGTAACATATTATTAAATAAATTATATGACATAGGAATCAGAGGCCCGTGCTACAATTTGTTAAAATCATATTTGCACAATAGAACGCAAATAGTAGAAATAGAGTATTTCAATGATAAATTACACAAAATTGAAAAAATTAGATCCGATACTAAAACTATTAAAGCCTCAATACCTCAAGGCAGCGTGCTGGGGTGTCTTATGTTTTTAATTTACATTAATGACTTTGCAGAAACCCTGAACGAACACTGTGTCACGTTCGAGGACGATATTTCTATTCTTATATCAAGCCAAAGTCCACTTAATCTAACAGAAAAAATTAACAGCATATTATTCAAAACAACGGACTGGCTAACTAAACATAACCTGCGGATAAACTTATCAAAAACTAAAATAATGTCTTTTCACCCATATCAAAAAGCAAAATTAGATATAAAATTAGATAATGACGGCTTCACTATAGATACTGTTAACGAGCACACACTACTAGGCCTAATAATAGATACCCATATTACTTGGAAACCACACATAGAAAAGTTACATAGAAAGTTAAGCAGTTTTATGTACGCATTACGAGAAGTAAAAAAAACAACAGATATAACCACTGCGATAACAACCTACTACGCGTATGCACATGCATGGCTCAGCTACGGCATTGTCCTATGGGGAGGCAGTACTGATGCCCCAAGTTTATTAACTAAACAAAAAAAACTAATACGAATCATAGCTAATATACAAAACACAGAAAGCTGTAAGCCTTACTTCAAGAAGTATAACATTTTAAGCCTTTTTAAGCATCTATATTTTGGAACTATGCAAATTTGTCAAAAAAAATCCAAGTTTCTACACAAAACGAGATGACATCATGTCTAGGAATCTAAGACAGAGAAACAAACTAGTGCTGCCAATTTCAAAACTAAAATCTCATTC